TCCATGTGTGTCTCAGTCTGTATGAGGTGTTTGTAAAGTCAAAGCAACATCAAACATTTTTTTTCAACCCTCAGCTGGTCACAGTGGTAGCTAAAGCCCTTATATCAACCACTAAGACAATCACTTTATTTTACCAGCCAACTATATTGCCAAATGATGGCTGGTTACTTGCCAAAGTGTCTGGCAGAGCAGACAGACTCACCAGCCAGACACATTTGGGCAGCATTTGGCTGGTAGAAGGTGTTTCCCACTGAAAGATCTCATCTAGGCCTACAGGATTTCATATGCAGACTGTCATCTGACAACAGAAATAGATTCATACTGGTGTCAAAAAAACTCTGCTTGGTTATAATGGTAGTATAATAATATATGTGTGTAAGGGCTATTTATTACACGGCTGTGTTCAGTATTCAATGCTGATGGTCCAGTTCTGCTGAAGGGTTTTCTTTTCCCTGAATACAAAATTCCCATTTAATCATAAACACTTGACTTGGTTGTCGACATAACAGTTGTTACCTTCCTACTGAAGTCAGACAGGCTACATCATTAGCATTGTTTAAATATCTTCTAAAACTTTTTTTTTCATTTCATCTTTCATTTATAGGAAAGAGTGGGTGGATTTTACCCTCCTGCACTTGCCTTGTAACTTTATTCCATTCCCCAGTGTTTTATGTTGTTTGTTCTTTTGTTAATTTTCATCAGATTTTATTTTTCTTTAAAGCACTTTCTAACCTTGGTTAAGTTTATCATTAGTATTTTTATTTTTTGTGTAGATCTTTTTCACAGCAGCCCTTTTGACATGGAATAGTAGGTTAAACACAGGTGTTACCAATGATACTAAATGTTGTGTTCCATCTAGTGGAGCTGAGCATTTCCAGTGAGCCAACAACAGCACAATCAATAGCAGCCCCCTGACTCTGTTTGACCTCAATGGAACAGAATATTAATTAGTATCATTGGTAACACTTGTGTTTACCCTACTATTTCATGTCAAAATGGCTGCTGTGAAAGTATCGTGTGGATTGGTGCATTTTGTTTTGCAGTATTACCACCACCTGTAGATGAATGGAGGCCTCCAGTTGGACATGCAACCAAAGTGCAACTAAGCAATTTCATTGGTCGCACTGGTACACCTGAAATTTAGAAGATCAGATTTTGATTTACATGACTATTTATTCTGCAGCATGTGAGGTTGGCACTGTATTATTGGGTGCACCTAAATTAAAAAGTTAGCTGTTATGGCAGAAGCCAAAGAGGATCTAGATTATTTAGCAACATAATCTGTGTAGGAAGGAGGCGGGGGGGGTAGATGGTCAGCAAAACGTCCGACACAGGGGACCATCGTTTTATTTCATTCCAACCACAAGTCAGTGTTGTGGGTTATAACCACAATTGTTCTCAAACCTAGTGTTTATTACTGTAACCATGACAACAAAGCACCCCTAACTTTAACCAATGGTGGTAGACATTTTAACCTAAACCTTAACAGAGTCATTTTTGTGCGTTAACCTTACCAAACGTTAGTGTTTTCATATCATGAAATGGATTTATTTTCCAACAGTGATTTGTAAATGTTTGGGAAGGCACAGAGAAATGATGTCATCCCGATGATAAGGGTTCGATCAGAAAACAAACTAACAACATTTTGTTGTTTAATTTGGTGGGTTTGTTGGTAAGAAATGTGAACTGTATCATGTGCAAGTATGTGTGTTACGATTAGTTGATCAATCAATTAGTTGTCAACTATTAAATTAATTTGGAACTATTTTATTTTTTATTTATTTATTTTAATCAATTAATTGTTTTTAGTTATATTTTTCTTCTTAAAAAAAGAGGCAGGGCACTTTTAGCATCTGCATATTAGCACAATGATGTTAGCATTTAGCTCAAAGTACCACTTCATAGAGTCTTGTAATCTGACTGGTTAGAGGCTGAATGTCACTGAATGTGTTCATACTGCAGTGGTTACAGCTGTTGTACGGATGCTTCCTTCTGATGTTCTACTTTTTGCACTCTTAGTGGTATAAATGTGTCTTAAAACAGGATAGAAAGTAAATTTATTAAAGCTTCTGGCAGAACAAACAGACATCCCTGTCTGATTATTGTATCATTTAAAAGTTTCCAGATAGATTTTCAATCTATCAACAATATATTTTTCTACAGCACTTTAAATGTAGACATACATTACAACTCAAATCATAATAAATTATGTTAATCACATATCTGACAGGAAAAGGGCTGCACAGATAATTCCCCTGCATCAATAAACTGTATATAATACCAAAATAAAAGAGGGTAAGTGATACTGCAGCAAGACCACATGTATATTCAGTGTATACTCTTCTTGTGTACAGTGTATACCAAAAAGGGATTTTTAAAAGGTGCAGCATCCATTTAAAGAATGAGCTTGCCAAGGCAAGTTGTAAAATTAAATGAGGGGATGTTTTTGCCGTGTATCCTTCTGTATCTGCTTTTAATAACCCTCCAACACCTCGAAAATGCTCGAGAACGTGTGTGTGTGTGCGTGTATGTATGTGTGTGTATCCAGGGCAGCTCTAGATAGCAGTGTTAAATTAGACCATGATAATAAGCTGTGGGACTTGATGTGCTCCCCGAGGATTAGAGCAAGACTTCATCTGTCTGTCTTCATCACTGACCTGACACACACACACACACACACGCAAACATGTACACACATACATGGCAGCATACTTACACATGTATATACTTAGGCCAACGCATTTGAGCATAGATGCATGCGTGTGCTTGAACACACAGGTACTACTGAATTAGTTACACCTGCTTTCCCTGCTATGACAAAATGTTCCATTTATCATCATCATTATTATCTGCCCTCACCATATATGTTCCAGTTACTCAGCAACATGGTGTGACAGTTCATTGCTATGCAGACAACGCACAGTTTCATTGTATATCAAAGTATTTATTTTTGCATGAGTGTGGCTTTATATAGGTTTATAGTGACTTAATAGTGAGCAAATAGTCGCAAATTGTTGTGTGTCATGGTATTTTGCCCTGTTTGTTGTGGTTTATTAATTGTTGTGTTAAAGAGGTCTAACTATTAGTAGGAGTAGTTAAGAGGGCTCCCCTCTTTATATACGCTGCACAGCTTACCACGACCATAGTACTCTTTATGGTAAAAAACAATATGGCTGCCTATTAAAGGGTTACAGGAGTTGTTTCAGCCGTGCACTGGTATGGCGGTATATGAAATTCATATCATACAGGAAATTAAAACTGGTATACTGGTTCATCTGATATACAGCCCAGTACTAGGTAACCATATAGACTGACCTAAAAAACGCAGTATAACTAAGTCTTGCACATAATGCAGCCGCCAGAGTCTTAACCAAAAGAAGAAAAAAGGGAACACAGAAAACATCTTCACACTGGCTCCCTGTCTCTTTTGGAATCAGTTAGCACCAGTTCACTGTGTGTCTCTCTACTAATGTACCTACCTGCAGCCTGAGCTCATCAAACACAACAACAGTTAAGACAAAGTAGTCTGGAGAGGGAGCCCTTGCTTTTACTGGACATAAACCGTGAAGAGGAACATTAATATTCAAGGTCCAGCTTTTGTTAGTTAAGAGTTTCATGTTGCCTTGCATATTTCATTTAAAAAAATAATTTTTCTACTCTTTTGTTACATTTGAAATTGGTTGTTTCTGAAATTCTTTAATGCAATGCATCGTATGCATAAAGGATGATAATGATGAAAATGATTATTATTAGTAGTATTATTAGTATTATTATATATTATTCACATATACACTGTCCCGTTACCAGTCAGTGTCCTTTCATATTTTTGTATTTTAGTATGTCCTTATTGTCTATATGTGTATCCACTAATTGGTGAGTATAGAAAAAATATAAATTTAAAAAATCAGAGGAAGGAAGGAAAGGGATTTTGAATACGAGCCTACATGATGTTCTTGAGATTTGAGAACACAGACTATCCCGGCATTTAAGAAGACCATTGCTACTCCGCACACACACTGAGGACCCCAACACATCCAGGCAGCGCACTGCAAAGAGCAAGAGGAGAGAGAGAGACAGAGAGAGAGAGAGAGAGGCATTGGAGAGGGGGGATGCAGAGCGTGAGAGAGATGTGAGGGCAAGGAATAGTCGGGGGGCAGGGGGATGCTGCAGAGAAAAGGAAATCTCATTATATACACATGAGCACTGCACAGAAAATGACTGATAATACGTTTCATAAAATATATAAATTATTTGCAGGTTGCAAGGTAGATTGTGTGTGTGTGTATCGGTGTTCTAAGACAAACAGATGATCATTGATCCTGTGCTGATTGGAAAAAAAGCTGCTAAACCTACAGTACGTGTGGCGGATTTACATATACACACAGCAACAGACATTTGTTGTAGTCCTATGATACAGGTTGTGTGTGTTTTCATAATGGTGCTCACAGTAGTATGCACCTTATTCCTTCGTTGTTCATGTAGCCACTTATTTTCACTTTACGTACACTGTGTATCTATTTTCTCTCTCTCAAACACACACAAACACACGCACACACACACACACACACACACACACACACACACACACACACACACACACACACACACAGATACGCTGTGTACCTCATTACTTTTACACTCCCCATCCATCATCCTTCCCCTCCCTCCCTCTATCTCTCTGTCTGTGCTGTTATCAATGGGATTGCAGCAGTCAGGACATTTGCAATGAATTAACAGCGTTTCTCCACTCTCCTCGGTGTGTTATTGGCGCCCCCTGTCTACAACCTGTTGGCATAACTACTGCTGTCCACATGCTGCAATGGCCCAAACCCCTCCTCCTCCACCAGCAAGCACATGAACACCAAAATACTAATGACAAAGGCTGAAACTGGCCAGGAAACTGTGGGCGTGTAGGTGTGACTAGTGTCCTGTGGTGTTGGTTAAATAAAAGGAGATGATGTGCAAATTGTAACACCCTGTCTCTGTTTTTCTTTCTGCAGTATGTGGCGTTTGGCTCACTCTTCTTCATCCTCCTCTCCATCTCCACTTTCTGCCTGGAGACCCACGAAGCCTTCAACACCATCTATAACAAAACGGAGCTTGTCACCGTTGACAACACGACACATGAGGAGGTACACTGAAGTTTTAGTGAATCGACCTTTAAAGGGACACTCCTGCAAACGCAGTGTTGCTTTTCTTTGAAGTTGTGAGATTTGGGAGACAAATTAAAAGATTAATGATTAAAGAACGAAGCAGCAGAGACCAAGGTAACCTGATTTTTAGTCCCTGGTATGGGTCAATGACCAAAAACGCTCTATACTACAAAACCAAGATGCAACCTAGAGCATCCATTCGTAAGCCCATGCCCCTAATTTTGATGTCTCCTAGCTCAAGCCAAGATAAACACTGTTTCTTAGACTTTACCAAGCTCCTCCAGATCCGCAGAAGTCATCACACAAACAAAGCACAGGCTGAGTAGTACTGCCCATAACTAGTAAACTGACATTTATGTGTAAAACGGTGGATTGGCTCTTTATTATTTAACGTACTTGACCCTTCCTAAGCCCCGTCCCTTCGGTCAACTTTCTCCTTTCCTGTAGGGATGTGTATTGGCAAGAAGAAAGAAAGACATAGAAGGGTTATGATTCAATATATTGTGATGTATTGCGATACTCTACGCTAGGCAATATATTGTGATTTAATAAAAAACTGTCATAAAATCTCAGTTAATTTTTTAAAAACTTTTTTTATGCAACCGGAACAGTGGCATCGGCATTTGTATTTATTGTAACATTATAGCCCTCAGCTTATGTTTACAACACGGCTATCTAGAGGTTGGGGGTTTAACCACAAAAATCAATACAGTGTTTCTGAGAATCGATACAAGATAAAATATTGCAATTCAATATCTTTTAATATTTTTTACACCCCTAGATTCCTGCTTATTTAGATAGCATATGCTATGCTAGGTCTGACTATGTTGAAAAGAAAACTACATTTTGAAGATAAAAGCAATATCTTAAGTAAACTGATGTTAGCATGACAAAAAGCTAGCTAATTAGCTAGTCAAGCTACATCAACCGTAGCTTCAATTTTGTTAACTAGTTTGCTAAGGATTAATGGAGATGAATTAGTTAGCTAGCCATCCAATGATTGATGTAGATAGCTAATGAGTCATTACAGCAGTACAGGATGAATAACGTGAAGCCCTTTTGGATTATAGCACCAATTAGCTTGATGAGTTAGCAGAGGTAATACTGAATAATACCTGTGATGGAAGGGGTTTGCTATAAGTTATGATCAACCTCATATGAGTTATGTAAGGGATAATGCCCAATGAGTTGCCCATTATCAGGAATTAATGGATGACGTATGCCTACAATGACAAATGATGTTAATGAGAAACTGCTAAAGAAACTTTTGACAGGAAGTGAGTAGTGTAACTGTATAGAGTATTATATTACATTATTATCATCGATTAAAATGACCCTTAACGGAATGAAACAGTATACCATGGTATCAGTACACCGCTGCAACCCTAGATGTGAGAAAAGAGTGGCACTATAAAGCACAGAAATGCACAGTTGTATGGTGGAACAATGCTACCTTGTAATGAATGAATAAATGAATGAGTAAAGGCTTGATAAAAATTAACCCTTCATTTTTGTTCTTTCACCCTGCAGATAGTGTATGAGGTTGTCACAGATGGATGGCTGACATATGTGGAGGGCGTCTGCGTCATTTGGTTCACCATTGAGGTGATGCTGCGCGTCATCTTCTGCCCCGACAAGGCAGAGTTCTTCCGCAGCGCCCTTAACATCATAGACTTTGTGGCCATCGTGCCCTTTTACCTGGAGGTGGCGCTGAGCGGCCTCTCCTCCAAAACAGCCAAAGACGTGCTGAGCTTCCTGCGCGTGGTGCGCTTTGTCCGTATCCTGCGTATATTCAAGCTGACCCGCCACTTTGTGGGTTTGCGTGTCCTGGGCCACACTCTGCGGGCGAGCACCAACGAGTTCCTGCTGCTCATCATCTTCTTGGCGCTGGGCGTCCTCATCTTTGCTACCATGATCTATTACGCCGAACGCATCGGTGCAGATCCAGACGATCCGACAGCTGCGGCCCATACCAACTTCAAGAACATCCCCATCGGCTTCTGGTGGGCTGTGGTGACCATGACCACGCTGGGCTACGGGGATATGTACCCCGAGACATGGTCGGGAATGCTGGTCGGTGCCCTCTGCGCCTTGGCCGGTGTGCTGACTATCGCCATGCCTGTGCCTGTCATCGTCAACAACTTCGGCATGTACTACTCCCTGGCCATGGCCAAGCAGAAACTCCCCAAGAAGAGGAACAAGCACATCCCCCGAGCGCCACAGCCGGGCAGCCCCAACTACTGCAAGCCAGACGCCCTAGCCATGGCAACCGCCTCGCCGCACAGGCTGATGGGCAATGTGCTCGGGCCGGGAATGGTGGGATCCGGCAGCATGATGGGTACTGGAGACTGCCCACTGGCACAGGAGGAGATCATCGAGATCAACAGGGCAGGTGAGTGATCTAAAAGAGATGAGATCATGTGTGTATGCAGGTGTGAGTGGATGTGAGGGAAAACAGCAAAACAGGCCTCTGAATCATGTATCTAATTTCAACCAATATCTCAAAAATACCAAAATTTAGAGTCCTTGAATTTCATTATGGCAGTCATAAAAAGGGGCGGGACTAGATGTGTGTGTTGGGTGTCATGGGATGTGTGTGAACAGGCTTGCAGGTTGTTTTGGACATGGCTGAGAAAGGATCGTTTCCTTATCAGATATGTGTCATCTCTTCTTCTTTACTACTTATAGAGCTCCAAATTCTACAGTTAATCACTGGAGTGACCATAACAAGAAATGATTTCATAAAACTGTCCAAGTCTCTCACTTTCTCATCAAACTAATGACCAGAGGTCAGATTTCAAGCGCTGAACTGATATGAGAAGTGTGTATCTAACAGGTTTTGAAGCTGTAAATAACTTGCTGATGTCCCCGTTCTTACTAGAGTGGAGTACACTAAAATAGATTTTAATTTACGATGGGACGAGAAAGCTGGAAAAAAAAGGCTTATTACATTCTCTTGACAAATCCATCTCTTTGCTCTCACAGCCAGATGCTGTGCGCCGCCAAGGCTGACATGTTCAGATAATCCTGGATCGGGTCTATATAGATGTACAGTATTCTCTGCTTGTCGAAACATTGATCCAGGCCATCTCATCTCTGCTCCGCTCTGCTGTTTTAATGGACATGTCCATCATCTGCACTGTGTGTAGAGTTGCAGTGTGTGCCATTACAGGATTCAAGGTTTATAACTATGAGTAGTCTGGCATAAACTCATTTAATCAGAACAGCCGTGTGCAAAAGCAGTAAATTTGACGATGTTTTTATAAAACCAGAATTTGATGCGGTCGAATCCCCTTTTGTTGTTTTGGAATTTAGCTTTGTAACAGGCGGTCTTCAAAGTTTTCCAACAGTTTTTAATTTGTCCAACACTTCGGTCTATCCTGGCTTTGGTCGTTATGTCTTGTTTTCCTATTGTCTAGGTGTCCAATATTGTTCAGTTCTTTAAGAGTTTGCATCAGGAACAAACTCAGAAACCCAGAAGAAACAAGCGCAGAGGTTCAGGATGGCAGCTTGGAAGCTGCCAATTTTTGGAAGTGGAGAAACTTACATCCCCACACATTTACTTCAAGACAAGCAAGCGCTGAAAGAACACAGCCATAAAATAAACAGGTTAAATCGTTTATCAATTTATGAAAACGTTTAAACTACCCCTCTGCAAGTTGTGGCCTCTTTTTTCTAAATTTAGGTGTTTGTCTGGGTTTTTTTTTAAATCTTGTGATATTGTGATCTTGCGAGTCCAGCTGCCTCACAACGTTACTTTATAGCCATTATAATGGGAATAGTAAACATATGGCTATGTTCATAGCTATGGGAATAGCTATAAACAAAGCCATTGTTGCATTTTAGGCATTCCTCCCATCTGGTTCTGCCCATCTTTAGAAATGAACACTACTCATCAGCGAAAGGCAGTTGAGTCCATATGTCAGGCTGTAAAGTAAGGTCAGCAACAGACTGAACAAACCACAGCACCAATGGTTGAACGTCCTTTAAGAGAAACTAAGAATACTGTCTACAATAGCTGTTTCTTTTCTGCTGAGATCTCAGCATTAACAAAATGTCAACCTACACTCACAAGGTAAATATGTCACAGTATGGAGAGCCACAGAGGCCAAAACTTTTCATGTGAACAATGTGAGTGCAGCCCTATGAGTCTTCCAGGAGAGTCTGAAAATGTGCTCTTTTATCGCCATATTTAAACAGTATATTGTCACTATGACGACGGCTTTTCACCCCACCGTCAAGTGTTAGGGTGTCCATGGGGTCAAAAATCAAATAATCTGAATTGTAGGCCTTAAAATAGCAATAAATAAATATGATTATGACAGAGCTTTAAAAATTAAATGTTTAATGAAGTTAACATTTCTTATATAAAGTTGCTTTTTTCAGTCTCGCTTTTCGATGTGTTTTGGGAAAAAGTAGTCTTGATCATATTGTAACAAATGCAAAATGAAACCGACATGGAACCAATACTAGTACCAATACCAGTGTGTGTGTGTTGTGTGTGTGTGTGTGTGTGTGTGTGTGTGTGTGTGTGTGTGTCCACCCCTCTGGCCTGTATCTGTAACTGTTGAACAGTAAATCATATTAGATTAGGTTTGACAGCTTTGTTGAAAGCTGCAAACACTGTTTCCCCTATATCCATCTCCTCTTGTGTGTGTGTGTGTGTGTGTGTGTGTGTGTGTGTGTATGTGCGGCACACTATATATTTTCTGTCTCTCTCTCCTTCTCCCGCTCCTTTGTTCAGTCTCTCTCATTCAGTGCCGTTAAATGCTGCGTGTGACTACATGAAGTGTGTTTGTGTGTGTGTGTTTGTGTGTGTGTGTGTTTGTGTGTGTGTGTTTGTGTGCAGCCTGCTCTGCTGCAGTGTGTTGGTCATGTGATCAGGATAGCTATCACAAGGCACTAACGTTCCTTTGCACCCCTCCACCCCCCCCTTCTCTCCCTCTCTCTTCTATCATTTCTCATCCTCTCTTTACCCTCTTTCATTTTATTTTTACCTCCTAATCGTTTTTTTTTCCTTTAATCTCCCGTTTTTCGGCTTCTGTTTCTCGTCTCCAAATCCCTTCTCCTTGTCCTCCTCTGAGTCGCTCCTCACCACCTCCGCTCTTATCTCCCTTTTCCATTTTTATTACTTTCATGCTCTTACCGTCCCTGTTTCTCCCCCTCCCATGCTCCTCCTACTTCGTCACATCATTAATCTTCTCTCCCTTCACCCCACCTCCTCACTCTCTCTCAACTTTCCCCCTCCATCTCCTCCCCTTGTCTCCTCTCCTCTCTCATCCTCTCCTCCCACCCCCTCTCCCTGTCTCCTCTCTTCCCCCAAACCTCTCCTCCCCTCTCCTCTCCTTTTTCTTGCACTCCTCTCCATCTCTTCTTTCCTCTCCTCTTTACCTTTACCTTCTCACGTACGACTTTTCCTTCCTCTATCCTTGCACCATTTCTCCATTTCCCTCCTTCTCTTCTGTTGCTTTCTCCGCTCTGTCCTCAACCTTGATACTTTTCCTTTCATTTCTACCACTCTTCTTTCTTTTTTCTCTATCTCTCCCAGACTCCAAGCAGAATGGCGATGCAGCGGCCAACGCGGCGGCCCTGGCCAACGAGGACTGCCCCACCATCGACCAGGTCCTTGGGGACGAGCGTAGCCCGGCCACTGGGGGCCTTGGCTCCACCACCAGCCGCGAGCGCTACCCACACGACCGGGCCTGCTTCCTGCTGAGCGCCGGGGAGTTCCAGCGCACAACAGACGGGAACGTTCGGAAAGGTAGGAGGGCGGAAGGGGGAAGGCGGAGGATTGAGGGGGGGAGGAGGAGGAGGAGGAGGAGGAGGAGGAGCAGGGGGAGGGAGGTACTTGAGTGACAGCAGTGGTCTGTCGCAAGATGCATGGTCCTGATTGATATGTGCTGACAGTGTGTGTAGTGTGCAAAAACATGTAACAGTCAAACACATATGTTCCAAGCACACACATATCCAATTACACACAACACACACACACACACACACACACACACACACACACACACATGCACACATACAGGGGGGCGGCAAAGTAATGGAACACCTAACAATGTATGAATGAATCTTACAGGTGTCCATGTTGTTGCGTCCACACTCCTCTATATATCTATATCTATATCTATATCTATATAGATATAGATATGAAAAGTGGACAGCAAAAACACATCATACACAGACAACATAAAGAATATATAGTGTACAGTTGTATTTCAAAATAAAAGAAAAACACACAACACTTTACATTTCCCCCTCACTCCCCTCCATCATTCTGAGTGACAGCTCGGCATCACCATGAGCTCTCTCCCGTGGTACAAATAACATATCAATGTCCAATGAACGGCATTGATATTTAATCCAGTGATTCTCCTCATTCACACCTTCAGGCTACAGCTGTAGCAGAAGAAGTCCCCTTCATGCATTTATCCTGCATCTGTACTGCAGAGGTACTGCAGAGGCTGCTGCAGCACTGCCATCTCCGCTGATGGTGAAGTGACTTGATTTACTCGACTGTAACACAAAAGTATTCATGACGGCCTCTTTTTTTTGGTTTGTGTGTGAATTGTGCTCAAATAATGCAATATTCACATTCTGCAGATGGCTGGGTCAGCAGTCACTCATGCAGGATAACACTGGTGTGTGTGTGTGTGTGCTGTATTCTGTGTCCATCACAGCTGATACAGTTCTTTGTGTTAAACTGTGTATACATACGGTTTCATTTCAAAACAGTGTCCTTCAGTGGGATTATAGTGCCAGAGGATTATTAGGATACAGATAACATCGGTGTTATTATTATTTTACTATCAAATCCCATGAAGAGACAAAAGAAGACGAGCATCAGTTGATTGTTCCCATGTCATAAAACCCCGGAAGGATGTGTTGTGGTCTCATTGTCTGTAAATGTGACATGTTGCACCGCAGAACCTTGTAGAGAGGAGGTTGTGGTGGATGGATGGGCCAGCAAACAACAAATAAACGTTCACACCTCCTCCTCGCCTCATTCCCAAATCTTCTTCCGGACTTTAAGTCAGTCATTTAAACTGGAGTGTGCTGGTATTTGTGGATTGCTCTGTGGATGGCACTGTCCGCATGACTGCAGTTCGGTCCCGCTGCCACTTTGGTTTAGATTAAAATGTCTCACTGATTATTGAATAGATTGTCATGAAATCTGGCACGCACATCCTTGTCCCCTCAAGGTGAATTCACCCTTCCCTTTCTGCTCTGTGCTCCAATAACAGTTGAGCAAGCCTCAGTCATCTTTCTCCTTTCCCTGTGCTTAGATATGCTATGTGCTAGGCTCATCTATGTTGAAAAGATAAAAGGGACATATATATACATACATATAAACATATAAGTAAGCTAATGTTACCAAAACGCTAGCAAATAAGCTAGCCAATCTAATTTCAATGTATCCAGTACTTTGGTTTATGACCAAATACCCTCAAAACTAATGACACTACCATCAGCCTCAGCTGTACTTTGTTTTTAAAGCTAAAAATCAAATGTGAGCATGCTAACCTGCTAAACATCCGCATGGTACCATTGTCATTGTGAGCATGTTAGCATGCTGATATTAGCTTTTAGCCCAAAGCATGCTGTGCGTAGGTTCACAGAGCTGCTAGCATGGCTGTAGACAGGACAGTGTATGTGGGATTGAGTTTAAATAAGTACTACAGTCTGTTTGATAATGAAGGAGCTCTATGGCACAGAGGAAGACGATACATCAGGCTTTGATACCAACACAATAGTTGTGATACATTCTGTGCTGGTTTTGGTCTTTTCATGGGATTTGATTGACATTAAGAAAAATCTATAATATAATATCCAGCCTCCAGTACGAACATCATGCACTCACTAGCACTTTATTGAAACATTTTAATGTTACAAATATTTAAGTCTGTGTCTGGGTATCTTGTTTTGAAATGAAACTCCTCATGTGTTCAATTTGCAGTATTTTGAATCTGATCTGCCAGAACAGGCGGATCAGATGAGTGTCATTCTGTTCTCAGTCATCACATCAGGCTTCTTCATTGTTCTGCTCTCTCTCTGACACTCTATCTATCTCACTGTATACTTTATTTTTCTCACTTTTCCACGCTGTAATTCATTAACTCTTCATTCTTTCTTTCTCTTTCTCCTCCCCACACACCGTTCTTTCTCATTTCTGCTCTCACCCTTGCTTTTCGCCCACCTCCTCCATTGACTTTCCCTTTTTCCTTCACCCTGTTCTCCTGTTTCATTCTCATTTCCCTGCCCCACTGTCTGTCCCCTCTAATGTTTCCCCCTCATCTTCCATTCATTTTCCCTCTCCATTTCCTTGCTATCATCTTTAATCAATACCACCTTGACCTGCTAACACTAAAATAATTCATTTTGTTTTCAAATATAACCCTCCAACCTTTTACCTTTAACACCCTATACACCCCTCTATATCCACATGCTATTTCCCCTGACTCACTCACACACACACACACACACACACACACACAAAACCAAACTCCACAATATACACCCGCAAACGCAGACTGCTCAGAGTCCAGCAGTGTGACATCCTCCCTGGGAGAGGAGTGGTTCAAGCCGGAGGGGCCTCTGCTCCAGCAGGAGCTCAGTGTTAACTCCACCTCCTCCTGGATCAAACCGTAGAAACACAGAGGTAAAACTTCCACACAGCACACAGAGCAGAGTCAATAATACAGCCTCAACGCACCGGGAACCATTGCTGATAAGATTAGACTGGGCTAGACCCGACTCCATTACAGTATATTAAAATAGTTAGGTTAGACTAAAATTAAACTAGACTAGATAGGATCACAGACCGGACTATAATCACTTAAACTAGACTGGACTGGACTAGATTATAGAAGATTAGGTCGGACTTCATTAGATCAGATTAGATTAGATTAAATTTAGACTGCACTAAAACAGGTTCAATTTAACTAGACTAGATTCAGTTTGACCTCACTAAACCAGATTAGATTTGATTAATCTATCTACTAAAATAGATAAAATTATATGAGACCACATTAGATTAGAATAAATTTGACCAGACCAGAATAGACTAGACCAGATTAGATTGCAGTAGAATAGATACCACTAGATTAGTGTGATTAGACTGGACAAAACTACATTACATAAGATTATTGCATTATAGCTTTATGTGTTAAATCCATTTGATTCAATTAAATAAGTTAATGTGCATTTATCAGACTTTATCAAAAAAATAGGAAACAGAAGACAAAAAAAGTTTAATTTGACAAGAGGGAGGTCCACACACACACACACACACACACACACACACACACACACACACACACAAAGTATCAGACTTCATTACAGTTTACACACACTCATGCACACAGATTGAATGTATAGATGTGCATGCAGGTTGCTTGTTATTGTGAAGCTTTTAAGTGTGGTTAAGCATCATATGGTGAATAAAAGTGGTGTGTAGGGTGGGGGGCATATGCATGGTATGTAAGGTGTGTGTGTGTGTGTGTGTGTGTGTGTGTGTGTTTTGTCCATACACTACAAAAGACTTGACCAAAGCACTCACTTGTCTATTTCATTTGGTTCACAGAGGACTCATTTCAATCAATAATGGTATTTTATAATAATAATGGAAATACAGTCTCTGTTTGGTTAATGGATTATTATAATAATTTACATGATGAAAGAGTGTATCTGTCTACTGTATGTAGGCTTCATTTTCACTGCTTATTATCATCAGCGACGTTCATCAGGCTATTATTAGCTCACTTGCTACATCTCATTACTGCTAGTGATGTCAAATGAAAGTAGCATGAATCTAATTGCAGTTGCAGGTTAGCTCTCCAGTATTTGCAGTGGTATACCCTTCAATCCATCCTTTGGCTCAGATAATACTAATTACAATCATATCTATACAGATACATTTGTGCACGTGCAATGGGACATTTTCAGACAGTCAGAAAATAATGTTTTTGCAAGCACATCGGTATAGTTATGTTATTATTATTCATAAACATTCATAAAACTATCAATCAAACCAAAACTGCTGTTTGTGGAGAAGGCCTAAGCTATTGACTAGCACATCATCGCTGGCTACTGATTTAGCAGTTAGCTCGGCAGCTACAGTTCACCTACTAACCCCTGCGAGGAGTCACTACGTCATCAAGCTTCCAGATCAAAATAAATTATAGATATATAGAGAAATTATGCCTTGCCACTTTCTAATGTGACCAGACCCAACTTCACCATAGTGATAATCCGATCCTGATATCTTGATATTCCTATAGGTCATTTGATTGGAGACCGAACAGCCAATCCCAGACTGCCTACATGTATTCTACGATTAGCTGAAACGGTGGCCCACTTAAACAGCTGACAGAACATGGAAATGCAAATGGATTTATTAGCAAAGAAGGCAGTTTTGGTAGCTGAAATTAAACTATTTTTTGTGTGATCATTTCTTTACAAAAAGCAAAATGATGTGCTTGCAAACATTCTGTGCTAATCTCATGCTCAGACTAATAGTTAGACATCACATTTTATGTAAAGGCACAGATTGCTGAAGTTAATATTTGAATAGATTGTGTGGGATAGGTGAGTTTAATTGCATATTTAGGAGCCAAAAGCAGTGTTAGCTGATATAATGTAAAGGAAACAGTCGCATCCCTGCACACACACACACACACACACACACACACACACACACACACACACACACACACACACACACATCCTAGCAACACTTAACCAAATGAACCCACTGTGAGTCTGTGATCATGACTGTGTGACTAAGTGCATGACTCGATGTAGTGTTTATTAGACTATTTGTGTGTGTGTGTGTGTGTGTGTGTGTGTGTGTGTGTGTGTGTGAGATATGCCTTCCCTCTTTACACCTGCTGTATGTTGTAACCACCAGGGAAAACAGGTCATGGGGTCAGAGTGGGTTGAAAGGTTAAAGTTCACAGTGCGGGTCCATGTCTGATGCGTGCTGTTGCTGTTGTTGTTATTTTGTTGTTGTTGTGTTACTGTCTCCTTCCCCAGGTTGTGTCAGGTCATGCGTTTGTACGTTGGCTCTTGTTGGTCTGTGTTACACTATCCATCTGTCTGTTTGTCTGTCTGTTTCTCTATTTTTTTCTTTCTTTGTTTCTGTCTGTACGTCCGTCCTTTTCTGTGTGTGTGTCTGTATTTCGTGTGTAGCTGTCTTCCCCTCCTCCTGCTCCTCCTCTTCCTCCTCCTTCTCCTCCTCTCACCCGGTCTCTTCTCACTCTGGTACTTACAGATAGTGGGGCACCACGAACCAAGTGCTCACCATCACGTTCCCCCCTCCCCTTAAAGCACTTTAGCTCCAAAGTCAACCTGGTTCCAAATGGACCAGGGAGGTTTTATTCCCAGAATGCTTTTGGGGAGATGGTGCCTGGTCTTTCCATACTATGCTTTCTGTGTGGACAAAACCTCACAATAAAACTGCTTTGGTTTGCAGATTCTGCAATGTAGTTTGGATGTAATTTTCCTATTGCGATCAATCAAATATTATATCATTTGGAATAAAAAACAAAAAGTATTTTTACACACAAAATATAAGAAAAGTCTAAAAAAACATTTTGGAAGTAAACAAATAAATGGGGATTCAATTAAACGTGTTTGTTTTGGGACGGGTGCCAGAGTGAAAGCGGCTGCTGCGCACTGGTTGGCTCGTTGCCCCGCCAGGCCAGTGAGAGCTGGTTGCTGATTGGTTGGTTGGTCGATTTCCTCTGTCCTCTCCTCTGGAACTGAGCTCAGGTCAGTTTTCACAGCGCAGCCCGCAGAGAGCACTGGTTTGTTTTTACAGCAGACTTGGCTCCAACCATTGCATTATGGGATCGAGATGATTGGATCCTCCAGGGAACAATTTTTTATGTCTTGATTTACTAAAAAAGGTTTAAAAAAAGTTCCCATTGCACTTTTTCGAATAAAAACAATGTCTTTTGTAGCTGAGCCGTGTCTGACTCTCTCTCTGTCAGGCTGGGCTGGAACACTGACTGCTGTAGTGCTTCGAAGGTCTACGTTAGCTAGCAAGCTAATGCTTTTTGTTTTTTTTTGGTTTTTTTTTTCATGTTCAAAAACACAAAAGCTCTAGAAGGTTCTTTGACAGACCAGCAGATAGATACACAGGCAGGGAGAAAGAAAGACAGACAAAACTGTAAATTCAAAAAGCACACACACACACATTCAGGTAAGTATTCAAACTACTTCGAAGGGCTGTGGTGACTAGCATAGTGGTGGCACTGTTCGCTGTGCTGTGATGGCCTCTTAGCTTTGTCTGCACTCTAAAAGCTTCAAATCCACTGGAAAACTATTAGCTGCTTGCCTCTGGGGAAAACAAATGTTGCTTTATTTATCTTTTCTTAAGTCATCCTCTCAGATTTGCAACTGGTCTTGGCAAGATAAATCAAGCACACCTCAAAAGTTTCACATTTCAAAATGGTCGCCAGGCTTTTGCTTTAAAAGTGCCACCGGGGCTCTCTTCCAATCCCTCTACGACACTCCTCTTTCCTTCCTTCCTCCCTCTCGCTGACATTATCACAGATTGTGCTGTACTCGGATGGGATTAATTACAGATCTTAATGTCACCGCTGTCACTGTAATCCAACACTATCAGATCTGTGGTTGCGACGGGGCGGGAAGAACGAAAGACTTGAGCATCTTCGGAGGCATTCTGAAAAGGGCAGCATTGCATCGTAGCGCTCCTTTTCCCTTCTCTGCAACTTTTTACGCTCCTCTTCTTATTCTGCTTCTTCTCCTGACTCCTTTTGTATGAGCGAGCAGTAGGGCAGGGGCGCAAGCTACCACTTCTGGTTCAAAAAGGCAGAAAATGAATAAGACGGATAAAAAACGATAGCACTGTAACAAAAGTCCTCATCAATGCGAAACTCTTCAACGAGCAGCTTTGCTTCGCCCCTGCCAGAGGGAGTCTTGTGGTTTGTGGCTGGGTCATGGTTTTATGGTATGATATGCAATGCTTTGACCTTTTGGTGATCCTGGCTCAAGGGCACAAGTCACAGGAGGTCAAATACTTGAGAGGACCTTTCTCACTCTTATTTTCTTTCTTTCTTCATCAGCTTGTCTGATTATCTGAGTCTATCTATCTATCTATCTATCTATCTATCTATCTATCTATGTTAGTGTTGGAAATGTGCCAATGTTTTTTCAATTATTTTTTCACCTCACTGAAATCATTAGTTTTTGGTTCAGTATGTTATTTTTTATGTTTTATGTTCGTATGTCATGTTTATTTTATTGGTCCTAATCATTCTGTCTTACTTTCCTGTCCTTTGATCATTACCCACCATCCCTCCACTCTCTCTCTCTCACTCTCTCCTCATCTCCCCGCTGTTGCTACGGAAACAGTGGACAGGGGAATTCTGGGACTTGGTGCAGCAAAGGATTTTGGGTCAAGGCTTGGTGTTTGATTGCATTATTGATTCATATCGATACAGTAGGCTGAATATGAAAATTCTCTGCTGCCACACCATTTGGACAAAGTGATTTACAATTTTATTTTTTAAATCAAAATGTTCACAAGCGAACACACTTTATTTCACTGATTTATTTAGAGACGCATTCATTTTAGGTTCACGTGAACGGTAGGATGATTATTTTTAGTAGTCCAACAGAAACGACAGAACATGTTCCTGAATGACCAGCTTTTTCTGATCCAGTGTCCACAATAGTTGGTTAGTTGGGAAACTACTTTGTTAGTTTCCTTTAGACCATCTTTTCCTGAACTTAACCCTGACTGAAGTTCTGGTGTCACAGTCGTAAACTGTACGCCCAACCATCCCCCGCCTACTGAGGAGGTTCTGTAGCATTATAGCAACATCGTTATTTACATTACCACAAAAGGTTGTTTGTCAGGAAAACATAGACGTAGGTCATTATAAGTGTTTGAACAAAAGACAAACGCTATAATTATTCTAATAAGGCCAGTTTCCTCCGTACAGATTCCCAGAGGTTAGCGTCCGCTCAGGGAAAGTGTATCACTCATATGATACCAATGCACTGGATTAGATTTCATAAAAGCTGCAATCTGATACAAGAATTGAAACCTACAGAAAGCAAAGACAATTATTTCCATTGTATACACTGATTTCTTTATTCTCAGCGATCAAAAAGAAGCACAAAGTGAATAACTGGGGAAATGCAGCGAGTGAGCAACACACCAAACCGTAACTGACTGTTAAGAAGGACGTTTGGATTGATGGTGGTCAGTCGCACACAGATCCTGATATCAGTTCAGATTATTGTCTTAGTTAAACTTACATTATGTGGTTTTCTTCGACTAGGGAGTCTCTCACATCAAAACAATAACAAAAGATGTGGGGTTTTTTAGACATTTTAATGGGGACATTAAGACAGGATTATTGGTGAGCATCTAAACATACCCACAATGGATTTATAGACCTTTACTTGTAGAATTTGTTAGGGTTGAAGAAGCAGAAAGATGATAAAGATAGAGTGAAGTCTTTGGCTTGTTTCAAATGTGGGGGTAGGGGGGCATGTAACTAGGAGTTTGAACCGCATCATAGACCTAAAAAAAACATCCATACCCATAATCCTTACAATAGCCAAGGTTTTTAATTGCTTAACCCAATCAATATCTTTTTTTTAGCCACAATTTCCCCTTTAATGTCCAAAGCAATAATTTTATAATCATTGCCGTTGGGTGCAATAAACGTTCATTACAATGTCACAATGGCAAAAGACAACACTACTAATGGATAGCATTGAATTGAATGTTAGCAGAACCAACCAAACATCCTTGTCCGGCAGTAGGGTTGACCTTTGACTGTGGCCATCCAGAACAGATATTAACCCTTTTGTCTTCAAGCGTGGTTGTACTGCTCCACGAGAGAATCCCACCACAGTCCTGCCTTTCTGTGACTCTGCAACTTGTTAAGGTTACTTGCTGTCTCAGTACAAAGCAGGATAAATGATCAGGGAGAGTGCTCTGCCTGCTGGAATGCAAAGAGGAGAACACTGCCTGCTCTCCTTCAGGAAAAAAAAAGGGAAAAAACCTGCAGAGAGGTAGCTCTGGAGTGAACGTTGGTGCAGTGCCGCTAGTGCCTCCAGAGGCCAAGACTGCACATTACACCCTCCTCCTGACTGCATGAGTTTCAAAGGCAGTAGACACACTCTGCATTATGATACTGTACACGTCTGTCTCCCTTTCGTTGGGAAACCTAATCAGTGAGTGGGTGGAGGTCGAATAAAGGAATGAAATGTTGCATTCATCGCTCCCTTGCTTTGTATTTCATGCTCTCTCTGACTGCTGTCCTTCTCCCCTTGTATTTTTTTTTTCCTTCCCATAATTCTCTGTCTCTCTGTCTTTTTCTCCTTGTCCTCCCCCTCCTTGTTCTCATTAGAAATAGTATTGATTCTCTTCATTGACAGACAGATACCAATGGCCTGAACTGACTCTTGAGTCTTACTTAGAGGCTCATTGATGTAAGGAGATATGCTGCACCATAACAGAGTGGAGAGCTCTCTCTCTCTCTCTCTCTCTCTCTCTCTCTCTCTCTTTTACCCTCTCCTTTGAGTTCTACTACCAACTCTCAATTTCGTACCACCTTAAATATACCATATTTCATTTCGTTTATCTCTCATTCACACGCAGACAGGTTTTCTTTCGCTTTCCTCTTCTCCAAGCAGTGATCGATGGCCTGTAGGCTAGTGTTTAATCATTATTGGTGGTCAGAATCCCCTGAGGCCTATTGGATTGCACTCACATTATTTTATTTCCTGAGTGCTACTACAACAGTTGAGCCACAATGGTGTCAGGAGAATCGTGTTGACCAAGGAAGGTGTGAACTTTTCGATTATGTGGATTATTATGTGGATAACCAAGTAAGTAAGGCTCTACCTTTGTCAGGGGTAACCAGAGAATTATCATGTCTTTATCTAAGTGACTATACAGTTCGGTAAAGGTTAGCTGTTTCTTTAGCATACATGTTGTTAGGATGTTCCTAACTAAGATTCAATTGATCCTTGATTCCTAAGTCCCGCCCCTTTTTGGTCTGTGCTCCAATAACAGTTGAGCAGGCCCCAGTCAGAACCTCGATCAACTTCCTCCTTTCCTGTTCTTAGATAAGCTACATGCTAGGGTCATCTATCATGAAAAGACAACCACATTTGAAGAAGGTTAAAAGATAAAAGCGACACACACACACACACACATATATATATAGCCATTGTAATGTTATAAAGAGTTCGGTCTAGACCTGCTCTATTTGAAAAGTGTCCTGAGATAACTTCTGTTATGAATTGGCGCTATACAAATCAAATTGAATTGAATTAAATCTTAAGTTAGCTACCTAGCATTAGCAAAATGCTAGCTAATTCGCTTGCTAATTTACATGAATTCTTAGATATCTAGTTAGATAGTGTTTTGCTAACTTTAGCTAATGATGTAATGCTAAGACATGACATATATACACATATATATTTTTATCATTTAACCATCTTCACAACGCGGTCGTCTTTTCAACATAAACAAGGTTCAAAATGGGGCGGGACTTAGGAAGGGGCCATTCAGTGCAGCAGTAAATCATTAAACATGTAAGAATCTGTTTCTATTGTGGCTGAGATAACTAGCACTCTGCAACTGTTGTGAAGAACATACAAACAGAAGAAAAAAGTGACCTTTGACTACAGAAACTCCTGTAGTTACACGGGTTTACACCATGGTAATTTGTCGTGCTTTCTTAAGTTTTGAGGGTGTTTTGAGCTCTCTCAGCCACCATAGACTTCTGCATTCATTAACTCTTTCAGTCTCTGAAGCTACTGGATGCAACTTCAGTATGTAAAATTAAACCAAATTAATAAGTAATACAGTATGTAGTTTTATACTTTTATAATCTCTTTCATTTTCTGTCATTCCAATCATGTCATGACTCTGCCATGTTTTTCATTCAGTGAAATATTGCCCTAGATCCTTTATATAACCATGTTATTATCCGTCAGCTTCATCCTTATACATATTCTGCATGTGCATCTCTCTCTGCATAACCATAGTGTTATTCATGGTTAGTGTATTCATCTGTGTTTATCTTTAATGTGTGTTTCTGCGTTCATATGACATAGCGATGAGACTCTCTATATTTTCTTTTCTTTCCTACATTCTACTCCTGTGGATGTCTGTGTGTTTCCTCTGTGTCTTTCTATCCTCTTCTTATCTCAGTTGAGAATGAGCTATGTCACATGTGACATACATACACATTATATGGATGTATGTATGTACCTTTTAACCTACGGTTTAATGTGTTGGTAATGTCATATTCATATGTCTGTATTTGATGCAAATATTATTCTTGACAATCTCAAATCCACATGTGGTTTCTAGTGATACATTTAAATTTGAGGTGTAGGCCTTTATGCTGTTGTGTGTCACCAGATTCTGTCATTATTTCCAGTGAACTAAAAATAATGAGCATTTTGCTGTAAACTGAAACACATGTTGATATTGTTTGCATGCAGATTGTTGTTGGAATAGTATTTGCCCTGGTTGTTCACTTCTGTGTACTCCTCCTCGCCCCCAAGCCTTCCCCTTTCTTCCCCTGGTCCTCCCTTTTCCAACCTCCTTCCTCAGCCTCCCTGCACTGCTCTTTCCACCACCACCACCACCACCCCTGTCCTCCCTTTCCATGCAGACATCTTGTTAATCCTTTACAGTGACCACCGAGCACAGATAAAACCCATGGTGACTTTATGTGGTTTTTGCTGTTAAATCAGCATTTTATTCTTTTTCCTGTGAAAAGACCAAACCAACAACCAATGTATCTACTAACAAGTGTCTCACATATCTTCTTCCTCTGTGCCATAGAGCTCCATCTTGCATTGGGTAACATGCTCATTCATGAACACACACACTGTAGTTTATTCTGACTCAATCCTACACACACACCGTACCATCGCTGTGTCATCTAATACAGAAGTGCGATGTAATGATGAAACTTGCAGTTTTAGTTTAGTTTAGGCAACAAAAATACTTGGTTAAGTTTAAGAGAAACTAATAATTTGGGTTAAAGTAATTACGTTACGTGGCGTTAGTCACGCCATTACTGCAGCAACAAGTCACACATAACATTATGAAACATAAAACTTTAAATAAGTCAACGTGGGCTGGGGGCTACCCAAAATACTGGAGCACCAAATGTGGATTAAGTAGATCAGGGAATTCACATGTCACAGCATTGGTACACAAACAAACCAATCGGTACAAATAATACTGCAAAAACAAACGGGAGTACTCAAATAAAAGAATGAGGAACACAAATTTGTTGTTGACAATTTTTCAGTCTGGACCAAAGTAGCGGACTGGTTGACCCACTGACAGTCATTTCTACAGTCCCACTAGACTAAAATTTCAATTATATATTTGTTTTTTTAAAGATTTACATCTTCAGATGGGATTGGAGCTTGTTGGTAATGGTCTTTTCATGGGATTTCTTGTCAGTAAAACATATAGAAAATCACCAGCCTTATTCTTTAACAAACTACAATTCAATTTGTGACACAAAGTTAGAATGATTATCTTTAATTATTGAATGCAAATATAAGATAGTGGTGCTGATAGGTCCTTTACATCTAATAATGTTCTGCCTGGGCAGAATTGGAGTTTCCCAATTCACCGAACAAATAATTAGCTCATTTCATCCCATTCTCTCTTTCATCCCATTCTCTCCTGTGCTTCTACTTCCTCTCTCCCTCCTCCTCCTCGTCCTTTTCCCATCATTCCCTCTTCCTCTCTCCTTTTCCTCTCCTTTCCCCTCCTCCTTCATGTCTCCCCATCCCATTCTAACACTGGTGTATCCATCCCATCCTCAGGCTATCCTCCTCAGTCTCTCCCCCTGCGTTGTGTTACTAAAGTCTGACTGAGTGGAGGTATGTACAACAAGTCACCATCACAGCACAGCTAACAGATATGCTGCTACACTGTGAGCGCTCGCTTAGCTTCTTGCTTTGGTTTTGAAGAGAATCAATCAGAAATCAATCAGTCAGTTTGACTTCTGGCAGCATAGAACTGTTCTTGGGGCAGAAATAATCTCATTGGTTGACGTAATCGAGCTATTTTAGCTTAATAACCTAACTTAATAGCTTGTACAGGCTTAGTTTGAACTCAGAACACGAGTCAAACAACTAGCTAAATGTGGTTGAGACTTGATTGCAGTTGCACCAAGGAGGTACATTAACTTTCTCTTGTCTTTCCTTTTCCCCACTGGTTTTCATATTTTATTTGTTTTTATTTTACTCCAGACATCGAGACTTAAAGGGGCAGTCCACTAGTCTTCATTTTACACATGACGATCAGATCACTTGTCATGGAGTACCACTCAGTCTGTGAAAACAGTTGTATAATGTCCTCTTAGGTTTAATTATAGCCTTTGTTACAAACCGGGGGTGTGGACTGCATCTACCAGGCAGGAAGGCTCTAGTAAATGATACTAGATACTCAAATTTCATTAAGGGAATTGTAGGATCTAACTCTCTTTTTGGAGCTTGACCCATTCTAGAGACTAAATTCTTTTTTCTAAAAGTTTTTTTTTAATGTTTTTTGCAAGTCCTCCAACTTTATTGAACTGCTGTTCTGCATTGCTTATTTGCTAAATCATATAACTCCTTTAACTCAACCAGTGATGACGTTTCTGCCTTTAAACTCATCAAAACTAGTCCAGGCGTGAATGTGTTTACTCTCAGGCTATACACATTTGTATATAAACGCTATACTGCAATGCATTTAGTACCATTACTACTATTTTCTGTAATGAGAAGTAACACAACAATTACTACTGACACAAGTGACAGCATAAATGAGTTAATATGACGTATTGAAATGGACACTTACTTTTACAGAGAGCAAATAAGCCTTTTCCTGCTGTTAGTGGGTTGAGCATGTTACTGTCCAAAACATAGTATTGATGGTGAAATAAAAATAAAAAATCCTTATTTTTTTATATTTGGAATCCATAGCTACCCTAGCTAGGGAGATTAAAGACTGGCCAGGCACCAGGTCAGGACGTAACATACGACTTTTAGATGATGAAAACATTTAATTTTATTTAGTGTGTAATGGCTACACATTTTTACAACTGTGAATTGGTTAATAAAAAAACACAGGGCCAGAATCAACACAAAGAGAGTTTCCACCAGTTGTACCATAGTTTGAGAACCAGTACAGTAAATAATTAAAGCCATTCAGTCAATACATACATTTCAATCAGTTGAAGCAGCCAGGATAATACCAGATGAAATAGCTTCAAATGCCATGAGGACGACATCGGGCACATTAGGTGACAGATCGTAGTTGTAGCTGCCTGACGCTGCATGTGCTGCAGAGCAAACTGCAGAGAGGCCTTCATTATGGATGCGAAGCACCTTTCGGCTTGACTTTGTATACAGTGAGAGCAACGCTAGAAGCAGCCACTGCATTTGAACCTTTAAAGCACTGAGACATATAAGCGCTGATCAATAATGTGTTTGGCCTTTGTTTATCTATTAGTAGTTCATGTTGGTCAGACAGATCTGTGCTCATAATCACAGTCATATTCACAAGATCTCTGACGATAGCAGTCCTGATCAGGGATTACAGCTCACTATAAGCTGCTGCTGTATGTTAGAAACTGTTATTGATCCCACTGAATCTAACACTGCCACTGCCACTGCTCTGTGTGTGTGTGTGTGTGTGTGTGTGTGTGTGTGTGTGTCGGTGTGTGTGTGTGTCCCAATCAGCTAAGAGCCGCAGTGCTGCTGATTTATTCCTGTGGTTATAGGACTTGACGTTGCAAACACAGCTATTTAAACAGAGCAGAATGTGTGCTGTTACACAGTAAACACGTACAAATACATGCACTCACAAAGCATATATGAAGCTGACATGACATTGGCCATTCATTTGAGACTGATATCCTAGAAACATAACACATGTTGACTACTTACACACACACTTGTTTGAGAAAATGAGACAGTTTCAGTATTTGCTGTTCTCAGAAGCCTGGTAGAAGACTTTGATATTCCTGCATTTAAATCCACATTTGCTACACATGCACGCACACACACAGACAAGTATACAGTGCATTAAATAACCAGGTCCTTAGAACATGGTGACCTAGATCTGTCGCTGTGGTATCCAGTACCCAGAATGCCTCCTGAGGTTTAAGTGGTATCTCACTGCAACCCGTTCTCACTCCCAAGTCATCAAATACTGCTGCTTGGTCAGTGGTCCTCCGCTTCAAAATATGACGCTGTAGGTGTCCCTCTAGTGTCATTTCTGGATGTACTCGCTGTCGACGTCAGGTGACGTGGTATAAAGAGAAAGTGAGCATATGGGGATAGTGGGGTGGATGGATGGCTCTAACAAACACAGAACATTAACCCAGGAGACTGCTCTTGGTGTCCCATGTGAAACCAAAGTAAGGTATGTAAGGTACATCAGCCACATTATGTAAGTTATTCATGTAGTTGAGTTACGTCAAATACGTAACATAACTTCCGGTCTTTTTATAAATCTAACCAAGTAGTTTTTGTGCCTAAACCTGGTTCGTGATTTAATTTTTAATATAATTTCAACAATTTTTATGATAAAATTTGATTATTTCGTAAGATTATTAAGAAAATTCTGCCTGAAAAAGATTCCTTCATCTCTCAGGGACAATATACAAAATGTATGTACATATTATTATTATATATATATATTTATATATTATATATTTTCTTTATTAAATTAATATTTTTTTATTTCTGAGGTAGGTAGGGTATAAACTGTGCATATTTCCTGTTCTTTGTGAAGGTGAAACTGATGTCTTTGCACCTTGATATAGGACATTGAACAAGCAAAGTCAAAAGTAGACAGCGCCCACTGCTGTATAAAAAGATTATAACATAATTTTCATCTCATTTGAATCAACAATATTTCTATCGCAATTTAACTGTATATTGTTACATTCCTAACACATAATACATAACTGTTTTACAATGTTAACCATGCAAGCTTTATTTTGAAAGTGTTCCTGGACGTTACATATTCATTGTTGCTTACTTGCCCTGTACGCCAGAAATGATGCTAGGACCATATCTACTGTACATCGTCATTGTTGGAAGCATATTTGACAAGTTGAGAGTGAGAACGTGTTCTCAGCTTCTTATTGGCCAATTAAGCCCAAGCTCACACCACAAACTTCATAGACCACGACTGGACACTGTGCAAGTAAACTGCAAAATGTCAAAATGGGTCTGGCTGAAAATCTGGGATTTTCAGTAGTACCATTTTGCGTCACAAAATGAACTGGACCAGGGCCTTTAGGGACACAAACAGCACAGTTGAAAATCCTTTTGACAGTTATTCTGCAAGCAAGGTATTAAAGGTGATTATATATTCAGTAAATCTAATTTGTGAGATTATATTTTAAGAAGGATGGGAGAGAGATTTTAATTCCAATTACTAACTATCTGTTGCAGTCCCGGTGTCGGAGAACCACACAGACCTTTCTGAAATATTTTCACAAGTCTGTTTTTATCAGATACTTTGACAATGAGCAATGCAAGAAAGCTTTGCTGTGGAACCTGGAATGTCTTGTAGAGCCGAGTATTTCCCAGTGTATGTGGGCAAGTTCTGTTACTTTAGTCAGCCATAAGGTGTGTCAATAAGTTTGGGTTGCTTACCACCATCTTCCAGGCCTACAAGATGTGAGTTTTGATACTTAAAAGAATAGATTTTGAAGCAGTAACACTTAAAAGGCTCCCCAAGGTCAACAATATAAAGCAGAACAGCAAACTCACTTCTTAACCAATCTTGTCCCAGAAAGCCAGAAAACTGGCAAAATCTCTCAGCAGGCAATTTTACAAAGTTCTGTTGCCTGAGTTTGCCCTTGCATGCTGGTCTCGGATCAGTGCCTCATTTCCTCTTTATGCAACATCCAACTTAAGTTTCCACAGAGGTGAAACTGATCCCAGACCAACCTCACAAGGGCAAATTCCTTCCTGAGAGGTGTTGATGAGTAATTAAAAACTCTGGTGTATCATGTGTTGGTGGGTTATGTAGGTATTGATTTGTAGTTGTTTATTGTTGTAGCCATTGTGATGAGGGTGCAAGGTAAAGTTGCCCTTTAGTATTTTATTGTCAGCTCTTCCCATGACTTGTCCAAGGACAACACGAGTATTATGCGCAAGTGCTAAAAGCAGCAATCACAACACGCCAGCTCCGACATCACCACACTTGTCACTTTCAGGTGTTTGTTGGAATGACAAAACTGTTAAAGCAGCAATTTGTGGCAATTTTCTACTACAGACAGGGAAATCCATCATGGTAGCGGCAGACTGTAGCCTTAATAGACGAGGATTAGGTACCAAAGGTACTCTTGGAAATATATATCTGATAACTGAAGTGGATTCTGAAGCAACGTGGGGTTTTTGTACCTAGTTTCGGTACAAGTGAAATTTACAGAGACCCTATATTAATGCAGTGACAGTATTCTGAAGTTGTCCTTTGAGTATGAGGTATACATCTGGGCAGTGCTTAAGGGCTGCTTTACCCGGCGATCAGAGGGGTGTGTTGTTTCAGGTACAGGTGAGATAAATATGACACAGACATACACGTTTTATTCAAAATTCAAATCAGCCAAAGAGGATATTATTCTCTTAATATTATGTTAAGAAGCAGGCTGTACCTGAATTGGACCAAAAAAGGTGCCAGTGCCCAAATTCTGCACAACCCTAATCCTTAATGCAACAAATCCTAACCCTAATTCTTTTGGCATTATCTTTCCTTTTTAAGGACATTTTCAGTGCTGTTTTCTCAGCATTATGATAGCTCTGTTTACACACAGATGCAGTTGTGCATGCGTTTAGGAGTACCTCACTAGCATTGCTGTACGCAGAGTTCTGGGTCATGCATCAAAGCTTCAAAGTAGTTATTTTTAGACAATTATTAAACAGACTTTTATTGTATACCCCTTGGTAAAAAGAGGTCTTTACCTCGGTGACGTACATCCATGCTCACCAGAGGTGGTGGTACTCTGATAAGAGGTAAGTGCCGGCCCATTTCAGGCACTGAGCACAGGCTGTCTGGGTTATGTATGTTCAAATTAATTCAAAGTATTGTGTGTTAGTCAAACAACGTGTATTTTTTAAATCCCTATTTCACTATTTTAAGAAGTTCAATCGACAGTTCCCTAAGCCCAGCCCTTTAATTAGCCTACTGTTGCTACTCATGTCGAGCTGTCCACTTTCACATAGCAAATATACAATTTACAACGGCGACAGATTCACCACTAAATTACTAGTTCTCAAAACAACGGATCCTAGATTATAGACGGACAAATCAGCTTCTCTTGTTGAGCCAGTAACTGAAAAGGTGACTGTTGCTAGCAGATTTTATGAGCTGTAGCTAGCTAGCCCAGGCTAATGCTAATGCTACGACAGGAGTTAGTTGCAAACACTATCTCCAGCTGACTTTTAAGTGTTACAGCTAAGAGTTAGGTAGTAAATGAAGCTAGTTAGCCAACATGCTGTTAACACTAAACACAGTTTCATTCCTTTTGGTGTTTTTGGTTTTGCAAAGGCTAAAAGACAACACGCCAAACATTTGACAAACTGAATATCACTCATACCACATCCTAATGCACACTGTGTTGACATGTGGAGAACTCCAAAGGTGCTTTGATGAGACAATGACTGTTAGGGGTTTAGCAGGGATTTAGTGAATAGTTAATTCACATTACAAAATAATCTACTGGAAATTAGTTGTGGCGTATATTTGATTGGCCAACGGAGATGGATTACCCTGTTTGGTTGCAGGAGCCTTAATTCTTACAGAATGTGATGTTGGTGATATTTTTATATGTCTCCTCGTACTGTTTAATGACTGCAGAGTAGTTAATGTACACCTTTTTAACCAAACTAATTACCCACATTAGCATTCCTACTTTTGAGACAGCTATTAATTGACTCCATTGTGTCTGGATGTTTTGCTGGGTTTCCTGGAAGAACCTTAACACATCAGACATCAGCTTTATTCTTTTATTCCATCGAAAGCACAATTATTCGCCACAATAAAACTCAACTAGGTTGGTTTTATTCTGCATAAACACTTCATTTTTAAAATCAAGTTATTTTATGAAATCCAGCCCTGCTTTCTTCTCTGACTGACTGACGTCCCAACTTTATTCACTCTGTGACAGTTCAAATTAGTGCAAGTAATCCCAGAGGCAATAAATAAAATGTTCAATGTTCCTTGTTTGTTTGTTTGTCTTTTAATGTTTGGTCCTTTAATATACCTACTTAATACCAAAAGGTTTGTTATATATTCTCTAAATGGTCCTCATTCAATTTTAAACAGAACAGATTCTTCAAAATAAATGTATTTGCTTCTTCACTCTCTGAGCCCATCACAGTACAGCGCCCCCCTGTGGGAGACCCTACTCTCTGCATTTACATTGGGGGTTATATTTCTTTGGCTGTTTGTGTCCTAATATAAAAACAGAAATAAAAAACTGGGCTTCACCAATTAATCAGCCAGACCAACATCTTCAGCCGATCAAATGATCAAGATGTGATAAAGAGTTCATGCAGACTAAGTCGCCACATGTCACAGTATTCCAGTTCTTGCCAAAGGAAATGTTGGGAAACCAATGTTGTGATCAGAGGTGCCCGGCAAAAAACAGCCTCAACTGTGTTTGTGTTTAGTGCTAATATTTAAAAGCACGCTAAGATGTTGAACATGATAAACATTATACCTGCTAAACCACAGCATGTGAGCTCAAAGCACTGCTGTGGCCTAATACAGCCTCACAGAGCTGATTAGCATTAAAATGACCCTCCAAATAAAGAGAATACTTGACCCTGACCTTGGAGAGGGTTTTTGTCTTTAGTCAGTCTGTCTGTCTGTCTTTCTGTCTAACTGACTGTTCCCTGTTAATGGCAGCCTGTTTTTCCTACTGGTAGACTGGCTAAAACACCTGGACTCTGAGATCAAAATGTCCTCAATGCAGTGGGGTTTTAATTGGAATGTTAACATGCAGGATTGTGTGTATTTCTAACTGTGCTCAGCTCCAGATGATTTACCCACCTGAGTTGCTCTGAGTTTCCCAAAAATTGTTAAAAACACCAAGACTGGCTGTGTTTCTTGTTCCTGAACAAAGTGTACCACCCCTGATGTGCTTTTGGGAATCTCAGAGCAGGTAGTCCAGTGGATGTACAAGAAAAAAAAGTCTTGGGATGTTTTCAGATCAAAGGGGTTTGTGTGCGTCCACTGGACTAGTGCATCCCCTCCCCCCCCTCCCCCCTCCCTTACACAGTTCATGTCGGTGCTGCAAAGCGCCACCCCTAGGTGTCTAAGGGATATTGTGGCAACTGATAGCTGATTTTCGTAACCAATATTCCTGTTTTGTCCTGTCTCTGTCTGTCTGTCCATCTGTTTGTCCCTCCGTCCATCTGTCTGTCTGTCTGTCTTTTTCTAACTTCCTCCTTTGGTCTGAAATATTTTACTTGGTTTGGGCTGGTTTTGTTTTGAGTTATTTTATCTTTCTTTTTTTTTTTTTCAACTTTGTTTCATTTACAAATGCTTGTAACTGTAACAAATGTTTTATATTTGCTATTTCTGATGTGCAATGCTGCCATTACATTACATAAATGAATATACCATCACAATACTTTCTGTCATAAAAAAAAAATGCATTTCCATCCAATAAAACACATTCCTTACATTTCATCTTTTTACCATATCATGAAAACATCACTGCTGACTGTGTCATTTGCTCATATGAATGACCCTTCATAACCCCGTCTAACCTCTGCCCTTTCATCTTCATGTAGCCACGGGTTATGAGAAGTCGCGCAGCCTCAATAATATCTCCGGGATGACGGGCGCCCCGCTGCGCCTCACCCCCATCACCAACTCCACCTTCGAGCCCTTCGAGCCGCCTGGCCTCAGGCGATGTCACTCCCCCATCCCCTCCATCTTGTAGCATAGCCAACAGGGAAACACAAACAACAAAGGGTCAACAACAACAGCAACAATTAAATAGAATTTCTTTTTCTTCTTTTTTTCCCGGGGAACATGCGAAAGAAACAAAAGCATCAACATGAAAGGAGTGTCTCATGGACATTTGATCCATCCTAGCTGCTCTTTCATTACCATCACTCACATGTTTTCTTCTTGATAGAAACAAGAATTCTTCTAGCCACTAGAGGGTCCTATTTGAAAACCACAGAATAGCTAAACCTTACCCATTAAACTGAGATAGACGCTTAAGCAAATGTATTTTAAAATACACAAACACACACTAACACACCTGCCTTACTAACAGGGATAGAGTCTAGGTTAGTTTAGACTGATATGATAGTTGAGTTAGTTTACCTCTAGCTTTCCCTGTGCTACTTCTTGCCTGTATCTCGACTGCACTTGCACTTCAATGCTTTAAGACTGATACTTAAGAGTAGCTACGAATAAGAGA